CTGGGCTCCAGCCATGTCTCTGTGAAGGCCAGAACGCAGCAGTTCCTGATGTCTTGTTGGTGTTTAATCCGTGCACGCAGCTCGTCAAGTTTGTTGTCCAGAGACTGGAGATTCGCGAGCAGGATGCTGGGGAGAGGTGGCTTGCTGTTTCTCTGTCGCGTTTGGCACAAAACTCCGGCGCGTTTTCCCCTCTTTGTTTTCCCTCGATGTCACGCGAGTAAACAAAGGATCCCAGGCAGCAGAGCGTCCACAGAGTCGAAACCCGCTGTAAAGTCCGAACTGGCTGACGAACGTAGCTTCAGAAGCGTTTGTCTGTCATACCGAGTGTATGATCGCACAGAAATTGAAAGCAGTACAAAATAAATAATAACATTTTTGCTGAGATGATTGGGAGCTCTTGTTGGTGCATCCATCTTACGGCGCAACCGGAAGACTGGCTGAGGACATTTACATTTTTCCAGGGCCTGTGGTCATGGCTGAGGCCAACTACATATCACCAGTGCCTTTGTTGCTGGCTGCTCCATCCACGTATATATACTGTTTCGCCCGAAACAAAGTATATTCCCCAGCACGGGGATATTGAATTCTATAAGATAAAGCCATAAATATGTGTATCTGAGTCTTCTATCAAAAGTTACACCTATTTATATGAAATTGTACAAAAACGCTTTATTTCGTCAAGACAGTGCGTTCTTGCAATTTCCATGCATTTGAATGGGGAACTCGCCCGAAACCAAGTATAGGTTTCATTATGTGAATAACTTTAAAATCTCAGCTCAAACAGCTGCAAAACCTGTTTGCCCAGCACGGGTATATTGAATTCTATAAGGCAAAGCCATAAATATGTGTGTCTGAGTCTTCTATAAAAAGTTACAGCTGTCTTTATGAAGTTGATCAAAAACGCTTTATTTCACCACGTTAGTGCATTTCTTACAATCCCATGCATTTGAATGGAGTTCTCGCCCGACACAAAGTACAGGTTTTCATTTTGTGAGTAACTTTATGCTTTATTTCACCACGTTAGTGCGGTTTTCGCAATTACATGCATTTAAATGGAGTTCTCGCCTGACACAAAGTATAGGTTTTCATTATGTGAATAACTTGAAAATCTTAGCTCACACAACTGGAAAACCTGTTTCCCCAGATGCTGAATTCTATGAGGCAAAGCCATAAATATGTGAGTCTGAGTCTTCTATCAAAAGTTACAGCTGTCTTCATGAAGTTGATGAAAAACGCTTTATTTCACCACGTTAGTGCGGTTTTCGCAATTACATGCATTTGAATGAAGTTCTCGCCGGACACAAAGTATAGGTTTTCATTTTGTGAATAACTTGAAAATCTTAGCTCAAACAGCTGCATAACCTGCTTGCCCAGCACGGGGATATTGAAATCTACGTATAAGGTAAAGCCATAAATATGTGTCTGAGTCTTCTTTTAATAAGAATTAAATCAAAGTGTCTATTGTCATTCAAAGCTTTTTTTTGTCATATGTCACAATTATATGAAATATAATTTCTCTGTTCAATGACATTCTTCCTTTGCTGTCCATCTACAAATGCCATGGGTAAGGGTTAAAAGAACAGGATAAATAAAGATATAAAATAAGCATAAAAATAGTGGAAGATAAATAAATAAGTACAAAAATAAATAAGTTAAGATAAGTGAGGCATGCAGATGTCGATGTATAAAGGAGCTCAATGTGCAAAATGAACTTAGTGTGCAAATTGTCCTGATGTGCAAATTGCAGTTGAGGTATGTCATCTGTTCAGGAGTGGGGAAGAAGGAGTTTTGAGTCGGGATGTTCTGGATTTCACACTTCTAAACCTTCGTCTCAAGGACTTAAGTGTGAACAGTCCATTTTGGGGGTGTGTGGGGTCTTTGAGGATGGAGGCAGCTCTCCTCTGGACTCTTCATTGGCAGATGCTCTGCAGAGAGGGCAGCGGAGCCCTGATGATCTTCTCCCCACAGTTATTATCACTCTCTGCAACTGTTTGCAATCCATAATCTGATTACTTTTTTCAAGTAACAAGTGAAGTAAGGGATTACTATTGCAAAAACGGTAATTAGATTACCGTTACTTTCCCGTAGGAATGCTGCGTTACTGCGTTACTAAAACCGTGATTTTTTGCGAGAATGTCTCACGACAGTGACGTAAGCGAGTGCACCGTTAGTGACAACAGCTGTGTGCAGATCAACAATGGATCATGTATCGATTGTGGGAGAGAGTATGAGGGTGCAGCGTTTAAAGCGTGGAAGTACTGACCTTACTTTGAGTTTGATTCCATAAAAAGTGACAAAAACATTAGTGTCCATTGTGCGTGGGAAGAAAACTTCTTTTTACAGCGAAAAAAACCCCTAAACTTCCGAACAAGCACCGAGTAGCTACGACGTAATGGGAAACTCACAGAGAAAGTCGCGGATTCTTCAACTGACCGCGGCACACCTGCACCAGGGTAAACCTCCGCCTACCGCAGTCCAGCTTTACAGGTGAAAATAGAGCAACAGGACCGCTGAGTCTTTGACTTTATTTATTTTCTGCACAAAAAATATTTTATTTTATGTGCTGGAATGTGCAGAAAATAGGTTTAAATGTTAAACTAATTTATTCAAGTCAGAGAATGTTGCATATAATTAAATTTTTGCTTGATGCATAAAGTTAAAAGATTAAAACTAATAAAACAAGTTTTAAAAAGAGACTTTTCCATTTGATTACATTTTATATGATGGATTATGCAGAAAAAGTAGAATTGGGCTGAAAGATCTATCACTTTATCACCTCTTCAGGTTTTAAATCGTGTTTTTAAAAAGTAACTAAGTAACTAAGTAACTAAGTAATTAATTACTTTTGAAAATAAGTAATAAGTAAAGTAACAGGATTACTTTTTTGGGGAAGTAATCAGTAATTAGTTACTGATTACTTTTTTCAAGTAACTTGACCAACACTGCATAGCACCATGCAGTGATGCAACTGGTCAATGTGCTCTCCACAGTGCAGCTGTAGAAGCTGCTGAGGATCTTGGCCGACATACCAAATTTCCTCAGCCTCCTCAGAAAATACAGCCGCTGCTGAGCCTTCTTGACCAACTGTGTGTCCAGGTGAGGTCCTCACTGATGTACAGCTATCTTTATAAAGTTGTACCCAAACACCTATATCACAGAGACAATGCGTTTCTCACCATTACATGCACTGGGTCATACGTTATCTTTCTCGCCTAAAGAAAAACGCTTCTTCATTTTGTGAATAACTTGAAAATCTTAGATCAAACAGCTGCAAATCCTGATTGCAAACAACAGGGATACTGAATTCTATAGTATTCATGCAGAAATGTTTGTCTGTGTCTTCTTTTAAAAATTCCAGTTATCTTTATGAAGTTGTACCAAAACACCTCATTTCGCCCAGACGACGCGATTCTTACTGTTACAGTAAGTTACGTTGGAATTTGTGTTAGACTTCGTTCTTCTTTTTTCTTTTTCTTCTTTATAATTTAACTGACACTGAAAAATTCTGATCATCATGATTGAGCTTCAGGAAAGCAATGTTATACCCAATAAAGGAGGGCTGGTTAATAGTGGTTAAAGGTTGGTTTTGATATACAAGTAAAATGGTCATGTCTCTATTCAGTTTAAAGTCTGACCCATAACTGACTTTATCTAAGTTTTGGCCACCACTGGTCTATATTTTCATTAAAATAATTTGAATAATTTTGTTCTAGCTGATTATAACAAAACTTGAAGTACAAAAAACCCCCAAACCAGCTATTCCAGATTGAAAGGATCTAGGCTGACACAGTGGTTTATATGAATCTACCTCTCATACATGATACAACGTGATAATGTAAATGTGACAATGTGGCAGGTTAAGTCAGGGATGTCAAACATAAGGCCCGGGGGCCAGACTCCAGTCCACCTTACTAGATGGCACTATTGGAAGGAAAATGTGAAGAACAGAAATGTTGAACTTTTAATTGTTTTTTCATGAGTTTTAAAGGTTTTCCTACTGACGAAGATTTTCTTGGCCCTTCAAGCTACACCTGAGTAATCAAATAATAGATTTCTGTAATATTACAAAATTACTTTTTAAAATTTGAAACACAAAGACTAGCACTTCATTTATTTATTTTTAATATAAACTATCTCAGGATTACATGTGTAATTGAAACATTACTTTCACTGGTCCCATCCACATAAACTCAAAGTGGGCTGTATGTGGCCTGTGATGTAAAATTAGGTTGTTTTTTTTGTTTTTTTTGCCTGTCCCATTTGGTTCTTTAGTCGTCAGAATTGTTGTCTGAAGACCAACAAGGATACCCAATGGATTTACTTTGCCAAATGGATCATCGTGGCATTGCCGTATTGGTCCATTTGATCGACCTTTGTTTTTATTGTTTATTATATTTTATTTTCAGATGTTACTGACTGGACAGACATGAGTGAGGGATAGGAAAGGGAGAAAGAAAGAGGAAGGAAAAGAAAAACAGAAGGGGAGAGGGACAGTGAGAAAGGGAGGGAAAAAAAATCTCCTGGATCACCTGTTGAGAGAAGAAGAATAGAAAACAAGCAAAAAAAAACCCCAAAGCAACATACTAAACACAACACCATCGCATTAATCTAGCTAAGTGTAAACAGCAGTAAATACTGAATATTCAATGTTGTTGTGCAGCACGCAGGACAGACAGCGCACAATGTGCTTTGAAGTAGCAGCCAAGAAAGGTGTAATTTAAGTCTACGAGCAGTGAACACCCGTGTGCACGCCTGTGTGGGTCATCGCGCTTGTATTCAAATGGTTTCCACATGTAATGATCTGCAAGAGGATGTAGCAAAAAAAAAAACGCGCACGCTTTAGCTCGGATTTTCACCATTTTGTCTTGACTTGTGATATTGTTGTTCATATGGGTTTTTGAAGAGGTACTTCTAGCAACCACAAGGAGGAGTATTGTACATACACTTGACATATTTGTCCTAGTGTCTCGCCGTCGTACGAAGTCTCCGCCTTCGTGGATAAGAATCTGCTGCGCACCCTCTGTAGGTCTTTGCAGACGTCAACCGTGGTAACTGCTGTTTGTCCCCTACCCGGATTCTAAGTGTTAAGGTATTGTTAGCGTATGGGTACATGCACTGGTATGACAAATCGGTGTTAACATCGGTCGGTTGTTGTCTCAATACCGATGGTAAAATGTCTGAAGTGAGCTTTTATTAAAGTGATGTTAAATTGATGGTTTTTTTTGTTTGTTTTACGCTCAGTACAGTCAAAGGTCCAGGTGAAATTTGTAAATTGCTATACTTAACAAATTAGTATAGCACGCGGTTTCGGTACGATCCTGGAACGTAACGTGGCTTTTTCAGGTACTGCGCTGTACTGCGAACAAAAGAAACCATGTGTATGTGAAGGCTTGGGCCTGCTCGTGAAAAGGTGCGCGGGTTAGGTGTTCAGCTCGCTGTTTTGACATAAACTGGATGCTCAGGCATGAAGGCAACTAGTAGTTAACAGGGTGCAGTTCGCTCCTCTTAAACTTGCTTGTGAAACCGCGTCGACATGCCAATAGAGCGCCTTCCGCGTGTCGTTTTACCATTGTCTAAATTATGGCAGACACCTCGATTCGTCAAATAAAGGAGTGAAATATGTGAAGCTCGAAAATTTATCAAGGAATTTTGATTTGTCAGTAGCCTATAGGAGTTAACTGTATTGTGCCAAAAGAGATTTCCGGTATTTTCCTAAAAGCGATTGCGGGAATTTAAGCTGTTAGAAATCTCTTGCTGACCTACAATCTGTCAAAAAATAGTTTAATCGTATCTCTCACTTAGAATGTCACGTAATTTGGAGCCATAAAGAGCCGTCCTATCACAAAGTAGCTGATGCAATGAGCTTTTAGCAAAGTCATTTTTATATATCCGGGTGAAGGGTGTCATTCTTATGTCTAATATTTTTTACTTAGATTAGTAAATAGACGGTAGTCAACGGGATATTCTTAAATATTTAACATTTATTCTTATAAATGTTAAATACTTAAGAATATCAAGACATGGCCCAGAGATGATCTTGAATGGCAAAACACAGAAATGACATTAAATACAACTGTTTTAGGTTACATTCTTTTTAAAGTAATTGTATACATTTCAGTATTTAGAAAGTGTGCAGGAACGATGTATGTTTAGTTGTGTGAAACAGACAACCTCAAATACTAAGCTAACATTCAGGGGACATTGTCAGTTTTACCTGCAGAAATAATAGTGAGCCTGCTGCAAATAGGCTTGAACTTGACCCTGCATTGTAGAATAAATGAATGGATCTCATTGGGTAATACTGCTCACATGAAGAGGTGGCACTGGGAGACAGAGATTAGCCCTCGATTTAGAGTTGAGGCTTAAAGCTTGAATGTGTGTCTTTGACCTGTCACACATTGTTGTAGCAGTTAACAGTCAAAACTAATATTATCTTAATTTGGTGTTGTATCCAAAATAATTTTTTCCCTGTAATTTATCTCCAATTATTTAAAAAAATAAAATAAAATCCCTAAGCAGTGAGTCGCTGTCACATTTTTATTCTGGCACATTCAGAGTCTTGACAGCATGATGAAGATCAATGTGTTCACTGTGTGGGCGGGGCTGCTAGTTCAAGTTTCTGTCCTCTTTAAATGATCACAGCAAGATGCATACTAAGCCAGGTTGCAAGCTGTACTAGCATTTTCTTTACAATGGGGTCCATACCCTCAGCATCTTGTCCTCTCATAGTCAGCCCCGCTGCTGACTGTGTCAAATGCAGTAAAGTGCTGTGAGTAACTTATCAGACGTGTTCTTTCTGCAGCACATAGGCTGCCTGTTTGTCTTCATCATTCTTGTCTATTTTCTTTCAGAGTCATGGCCGAGCTAAAGGAACGCACATTCATTGCCATTAAGCCTGATGGCGTGCAGAGGGCCATCATTGGTGAGGTCATCAAAAGGTTTGAGATGAAGGGCTTCAAGTTGGTGGGCATGAAGATGCTCCATGTAAGTATAGACTGAAAGAATCCAACCCTTACAGGTGAAACTGTATCATAGTGGTCAACATTTTTGCCCTTAAAACATTTTAACCATAAGTGTGCCAAGTAATGGGTAAGCCTGATTAGCCTACTCATCTGTTCCTGAGTGAAGCACAGCCAATTAGCTGTTAAGGTCTACTGATCCTGTAACATTTAACCTGATATGGTAAGGTGCTGCTTTATGTGAACATCAAGTTTGCTTAAGTTATAAACCTGCAACACTTAAATATTTCTGTTTAAACATCTGTCCTGTTAGCGTTGGTGTGAGAAACATGTTCTGATGATATGGTACTGGCCTAAATTTCAATGCAATTTCTGAGAAATTGGTGTGATTGTTTCTACACCCAGACTTCGTCTGTTGCTTGCGGCTAAAAAGCTGGGGGTAAACATGTTGATAAAGTTGCCAATTATGTTGAGTAGCGAATGGGTACTAATGCAGTTTCTAGAGCTGCATCAGTACACATATGGTGACAACACAGTTACTGTGATACTACAACAGAGGTCTCGAACTCCAGTCCTCGAGGTCTGGTGTCTTAAAACATGTGTCCCTGTTGCAACACACCTGAATTAGGTCATTATAGAACTTGACTACATGCTGAAATGGCAACCCCTAACCCTACTCGAGTAAATTTAAGTAAATGTAAGTGTTTGGAAAAATGTACTTCTAACAGTACTTTGATTGCACCATGTTCATTCACTCATGAGCTGCTGTAACATGAATCAAATGGCTGCATTGTGTGCTACTAATTGTGTGTTGCAGCAGGGACACATGGAAAAGTTTCAGGACACCAGCCCTTGAGGACTGGAGTTCGAGACCCCTACACTACAATTAGAGTGCTTCATCTGAAATTACAAGTATTACAGCAAAGCAGCGAGTGAAATGAAGTACAAATGATGACTCACAAATTAGGATGTGAAAGTGAACATTTACGAAACTGCCTTGTTTTCTTTGCTGCAGGCCTCTGAGGACCTCCTGATGAAGCATTATGTTGACCTAAAGGACAGACCATTCTTTCCTACTCTCATCAACTATATGAGGTCTGGTCCAGTGGTTGCCATGGTAAGACTCTATGTATGTATGCATGTCAACAGTTCAAGGTCAGATCTTAACCTCATTATCTGTCATGGTTGCTTCAGGTGTGGGAAGGCAAGGGTGTGGTGAAGACAGGCAGGGTGATGCTGGGAGAGACTAACCCTGCTGATTCTAAGCCTGGAACCATCAGAGGAGACTTCTGTATTGATGTCAGCAAGTGAGTTATCTTCGCATGATGGCAGATGTGAAACTACAGCGTGTATGAAGTGTATAGTCACTTTCTGACTCTGTCCTCGTCTTAAGGAACATCATCCATGGCAGTGACTCGGTGGAGAGTGCCAACAAGGAAATTTCCTTGTGGTTTAAAGATGATGAGCTTGTCAACTACACTAGTTGTGCCTTCAGCTGGCTCTACTGAGCTGCTCTGGGTCTGGAGCTCCCACCTCACCACTGCTTGGGCACAAAGTGAAACTTGCCTCAGATTTCCTGTGGTAAGATGTAGCCTGGAGGGAGAAGAACTTGTGTAAATCCTTTGTCTTTCACAATTCACCCCTCTTGTCCTTTACATTACCACTGTGCTCTGATTTGGTCTCTGTGGGGCCACGTGTAGTCCGAATTCATTCCTGAGCAAAATTCTATCTAGTCCTTCAATGTACATCGTTTAATGATTCCAAACCTGTCTTTGACTGTCTGTTTTGTTAACGGTAATTTGCTTTACAATAAAATAAAATAGCTGGCATCCTGTCTGTGTCATTGGTACTTATGTTCCTGTGTGTGGGGGGGGAGGGGGTTAAAATGTGGTGACTTTAGGCAGGATTAGTGTTAATTAGCCTGACAGTCTGTATTAGCAACTTCCTAATCTGACTAGATTAGGAAACTGCTTTCATACTGTCAATAGTTTAAAGCAACTTTATCATCCTTCCAGACATTGATGACTAATAAGAAAAATCTTTTAAGACTTCCAACTATTAAATGAACCATGTCAGTTTGCTGAGGAAAGGGGATTGGGTTTCTGCAATTGGCAGTGATCATTAAAAAACTTGAATTGGGTTCACAGTTCATCTTCCAGGTCTGAAAGTGAAGCTGATGTTCATCTCCTTACAGTGTTTTATGGCTATTATATCCCGCCGGGTCGACCAGCAGCATTGATTCGATGATTCAGATTTTCAAATTGACAGAATCTAGAGGTACAAAGACAGATTTTTAGTAGACAGAGGTAAACTTTTCTGAAAATCTTGAGAATGAGGCAGTGCAGTTCATCTCTAACGATCAGTCTGTGCTGTGCACTTAGCTGCAGATCAGTGCCAGAACTAGTTTGTGATGGTGCTGGTAAATTGAGTTTCTGGTGTAGTTCAAGTGTAGTTCTTCACGGTTAAGTCTGATGCAAAATAAGTCTGAGGCACACTAACGTGCTATGGTCTATTTTGATTCTCTGTGCATGTTTAAAGATGTATTGTCCAATGGTGAAGCAGAGAGGATTGGCAGTGTTTTGAATTATTAAACTTGTATTCAGTGTAAAAGTCACCAGAAACTTTCACAGCCATGCAGAAACAGTTGGCAACGCTTGTAAACAAAGACAACCAAATTGTAATCCAAACTTCTGGCTTTATTTACATGGTCAAAGCTTAGTCACAGCACAAATTAATCATATAAACAGAAACTTGTATACACTATCAAAAAGATGTACAAACTTGAAACTGCAATTTTGAAAATGTACCTCTAGGGTTATTGTTAATATCAATAGATTTATAACTGACAGATACTCCCTCCCCCCACCTCAATTTGTATCGAAAATAAATTTTTCACTATAACTCAATTTACCAGACAATAATAATCTCTCTCTCTCCCCATATATATCTATATATATATATATATATACACACACACATAGCACCACAATATAATCAGGAGGGGAAGTGATCGCATACAAAAGACCCGTGTTAGAAGCCAGGAAAGAGGATCAAAACAAAACAACTTCAGCATTTACCTAATTATTCTCATCTAGAAGAACCAGATCAGCTGCAAGACCTCCACAACCAAACGGTTTCTATGTAAGGCTATCAGTGCCAAGAAAAGGCAAAAACAAAAAACAAAACTGGATTACACAAATATTCAGCAAATGCAATAAGGCTGCAAGTCTGATTTTATTTTGTTTCAATTTTGGCTTAACACCAAAATTAGGAAAATTCTGACTTGGCATACCCAACTTATTTTACCACATAGAAATTTAATTCAAAATGAAATTTGTCACGTTTGTCTTACTTGGAAAATGAAATAATATAAATTGTTATCAGGTAATGTTATTCCTGATATTATGACATATTGTTCTCACTATTACCGTTTTGGTAGAGTAACATTTTTATTATTACTGTTACGTGCCACCAAAATCAAAATCATCAACCTGCTTTCATCTCAAGCTACTGAGATCCAAAGCATTAGGAAAGAAGGTAAATCAAAAAGTACATTTTCTACAAGAAAATATTAGGAACTGGAGATCTGAAATAACATTTGATTACTTGGGGTTTAATCTAAAGGAGGCCAGAAACACAGAACAGTCATTTTGTTTTTGTACAAATACGTTTTGCTGATCAGGTATTTTAATGTTTCCTTTTGCCTTCATACATGACACGAACATGAGCACCTTCTCAAAGGGCTCATGTCAATGAGTCTTGCACTTATTGTAAGACAATCATTTATTGTTTCACAATCAAAAACCTTTGCATTTCTTGTACAAGTTTCTCTTAAAAGGAAAAAATTTTTTCCTTTTAAAACAATTGTTTTCAAATCTCAGGAGATGAACTTAAACATGAATGCAGAATGGTTCATCTTGAGTGTTCGGAAGCAAAAGTTCTAATTAAGGAATCATAACTTAATTCTTAAATGAATTTTGTTTTTAAACACAGCTTAATACCAAATGTTGATATTTAACTATCATTTTAAAGGATAGTGATGATGATCTTTTAGCAACAGTCTTCCTCATTCATATATATATTTATTGTGTGTGTGTTATTTTTATATGTGTATATGTAAGTCCAAAAGGTTGGACTATTGCTCTCAAAAGACATTCTGTAATTAAGCAACAATGGGATCTATGACTGACGGGGGGGGGGGAATCAAACAAAAAAAACATTTACATACTTTTATGATGCTGGAGATGCAAATTTCTATTATGTCAATTATGCCCCTCCATTTTTATGTTTTACATGAATTTTTAATTTCTGGGAAGTAAGTTTTGACAGTTCTGTTTCTTGAAAATTCTGAAATAAATTAACAAATGAACTAAATATGCCATCACAAATCAGAATCACAATTCTGGGGAGGCTTCAGCGTTCAAATATCACGACCTGCTTCAAAATCTGTCATTTTAAAACCTTGTTAGCTTCCATACAATAAATCTACAAGATCAAAATGCCTTTGGGGTTTTCAAACCCTGCTGATTCACACAACCTTTACAAAGGATCAAAACTTCCTGAGAATTGAACCATTCAATTGAATCTTTGAATCTGAAACTTGTTAGTTTACCTTTACTGAGAAGTTTACAGATTCTCTGCATTTAAAAGCATCCTTTGGCCATAAAGTGAGCATTCTTTTTAAACCCTTTGACCATAAAAGTCACAGTTATACAACGCCCTATTGTTAATTTTTCTTACATGCTAATGATAACAGTGTAGTGATCGTGACATTTGCAGGCGCTATAAATTTTACTTAGTATAGCAAAATAAGATTGGATCTATTAATATTGCATTACATTCAAAATAGAAGACTTCCTCATGTGTTGCAATAATATTATTCCACGTTTGAAGTCTAGCCTTCAAGTGGATTATTTTCAGGTTGTTGATTTTTTTCCATTTGCATAAGCAATAGTCTATTTCATGCTCTCGCTTTAGCTAAACATAGCTAGCATCAGGAGGTAGTAGATAAACGGTTGCAAAAATCGAGCTCTAAGAATAATCAAAGGTGGTCTGTTGTCTTTTCCATTTTCTGGCTAAAGATGATTTCTTTGTTTGATTCCATCACAGTGGTGGAGTATAAATATATGTATTTACATACAATATATGTTTTTATGCCACTATGCTATGTGAATGCTGCCTTCAGAGACGATAGGAAAAGCAGTGCATTGTTTAATTATCAAGAACAACCTGTCATTCTGTGGCTCAGATGAATCCTAAACTAGCTTGCATACATGGCTTTATCACTCGTACGCACACCCACACACACAAACCCTACAAACATTTTGCATATTACTTGAAGACCTGTTTGGTTATAAGTTTGCCGTAACCAAGGTAGATTCTCCCACTTTGTCTTAACATGGGAGTCCAGCCACCTATATTGAGTGAATGGAGTATGTAGCCTCAAGTATGCCACATACAGTATTTAATCATATTCCATTAACTAAAGAATAAACCAACAACAGCCATGAAGTGAATTTACATTTCTGCCATCTACCTCCTTAACTTTCTATCCAGCAGATTAGGGTTGGTGGGGCGTTTAAAATGTAATTTTCTAATAAACTTTTGTATGCATTTAATATTTTTAAGTGATTCATATGTATTTAATACTACTACTACTCCTCAATGAATTCTATAATTCCCATTTCATTATGTCATACGTTACATTACTTCAGAATAAGGAAAATTTTTTTTCCTTTCAAGATTTTCTGTATTGCATATTATTTAAAAAAAATTAAATAATAGATTGAATATAATTGTGGCACACTGCAGATGCAGATTTTGGTAAAATTACAACTGAAATCAAAAGAAAAAGGACATGACATGTATATTGATAAACCTTTAACAGAATACCAAGATTATTATGATTATGTCCAGGGACCAAGTGATAAGACAAGTCTCTGATAAGACTGAAGTTCATCTTTTACAGCAGCTACAATCAGAGAGTAAAGCTCAAAGCATATTGTATGGCCGGGCAGTGGGGACATGTCATCATATCCTATCATAATAGTGCGATTTTTCATTTAAACTTTGCGACCTGCTGCTTACTTACACTTCCCGTTTCTTCTGAAATATTCTCATATCATCAAAATGTGGAGCTTTTTTTTTCTTTTTTAAAACAAACAAACAAACAAAAAAGCCATTTTCATTTCCACAGCTTCAGTAATCCTTTTTTTTATCAGTACAGCACACAGAATCTGAAGCTACCCCAGTGATAACTGCTTCAACAACTGCTCATTCACAGAGGTACTGCAGGACCAAAAACTCAAGCTTAGCTCCAAAAGCAAGTCATAACCCCTACATACAATGTTCAGCTTTACAGCATTAAAAGAAAAATGTGCTTATATCCCAGTATATGGCCAAGTTGTGGTGTGAGACACACTACCACAGGCAGCTGTGGTGTGGCTGGCAACAGGCCACACCTCCATTAACTGGCGTCACTGAACTAGACTTCTGGACTATACTTGTGTTGTTGATGCCTTTTGGCATCTATTTATCTGACAAATTATCAGCCCTGCTGGTGGAAAATAACATTCAAGATGTTTGTGCTTCACCCTTGGTGAGTGAAAACCTGAGTGTTTTATTAGCAGTAATTAGGCGGTATGTGGCTGCTAACCACCTAGCTAGCATTTGCTGGTAACTTAGCCACCTGTTGTTCAATTATG